AATGGTAAATATGGGACACAGTTACCTAGATACCTCAAAATAATAATTGCATTTAATAATGTCTAGTAAGACAAATCCAATATTGTGTACTAAGCACTGCTGTGTCTAAACTGTGTCGCCCCACCTTACATTTTCCTATTGTCATTTAGTATATAAGATCATTATTTCTATGTACATATTGTCAGTTTATTATCATCTGTAATATACATCGTCTCTACCAATAACATCGTATTCAGTACCCACAACAGTAAACAAGCATACGGCCCATCTGATGGTAAATTACCTTAGTCTATGGACACTTTAATCATCAGGAGTGTCACGTGCACGTTGCAGACCCTTAAGAAACCTTAATATAACCTTCAAAAACTCCATGCTGTAATCTCTCGGCAAAATCTCGGCAGGTAGTTCATTCCACAATCTAAGTGTACGCGGGAGGAAGCTCCTCTGGAACTGCACAACTCCGAGACCACTTAGGTTCCAGTGTGGGGATGAATTCCTTGTCGATGGCGAAGGATGCGATGGTAAAAGATAGTCGTGGACATTATGTCAAGTATATATTAAGTAGATCACAAAGTGATGCGAAGTCTCACATCAAGCTAAGTGGTGCAATACCGTTTGAGAGATGATTCCATCATTGATCAATTTGCAATATTTTACATTACTTATTACAATCTTCGATAGAGTAACTGTCCCCCAGTCAATTTAGCTAATAATACCCTACATCACGTTGATTCCATCAGGTACCTGAATCTTCATTTGGATCGGCGGCTCCCCTGGAAAACCCACATTAAAGCTAAACGAGATGAAACCAACCTCAGATTTAGAAACTTGTACTGGCTCTTAGGTAGAAACTCTAACCTCTCAGTAGAGAACAAGTTGCTTGTTTATAAGGTGGTCATTAAACCGATTTGGACCTATGGCATTCAACTGTAGGGAAGTGCTAGTACCTCAAACATTGAGATTCTCCAACGGTCCCAGAACGCTATCTTGAAGATCATTCTTAGGGCACCAACTTGGAAATACATCACTTTTCGAATTGTTTTCGAACCCACTGTACGAGAGGATCTTGCTAGCAAATGCTCAAAGTACAAGGCTCGGCTGAGTGTCCATCCCAATGAACTAGCTCAGAGGTTACTAACTGACAACCCCTCAAAACGCCTGGAATGAAAATATCTACTGGATTTGGATAAGCAAAACTCTAGTTTTTAATTCCTGAATGTATGCTGGAGGGCGTCATTAAATAAGAAGATTTGCACTCAATGGACTGCAGACTCTCATTGCCATTTGCCAACCAATCCGATTATAGTAGACATACTGATCACGGATAAACCAAGAATAATAAAAAAAAAATTACACTTCAGCGGTGCTCCTATTGGTCATAGGATTATTGTTAGTTTCCTATGGGCTATCTACTAAAACCTTCAAAATTGATGTAGTGGAAATTACCACCAACAAAGTGGGATTAACATCCAAAGGTAGATTGTGTACCTTTTGTAGTGTTTTTTACTTGAAATGGTTAACTCAAATGATATTTAATTAAATATTATTTACCTACCAAAATGTATATTTCGAGTACTATCAGCAACAGAAAAACCTGATTCCCTTAAGCACATAACTTTTTTTTAATTTAGAATAATCCTAAGGACTAAAACTGAGGAATGCAACTTCTAGCAACGCCAAGAGCAGAAAAGTTACATAACGTAGTTTAAAATCAAAGATGCAAAGGATTCTTCTGCTTTCAACCGACTTTAAAAGAGTAGTTCTAAAACAAGATTTTTTCTAAATATTTATTATTGTTTTAGAAAAATTCAGTTAAATCCACGCGGACGAAGTCGCGGGAGCAGCTAGTATAAAATATAAATATTTAAAAATAAGGAATTGTCGTGCCGGCCAGGGGCCCGAATGTAAGGAGTACTGTACACCTACTATAATTTAATCTTGGCCTGAGTCGTTACTCTTTTAAAGTTATCGGCTATTCTGTAAAGCCATTAAAAATTTCTTTCTACCATAAAAATGATGATTTGATAATATTTTTACAACACGAACATTTAATTTCAAGCTATGTTTTATTCGATTTGTGCCTTAGTATCTAAAATTTAAAGTGTTTACACACGATCCTTAAATTGGCACTGATATAGGAGTGCTCGTTACGAGCGCCCTCTATATATATATTAAGTTATATTACGAAGTCACTTTCTATGAACGCAAATAGAATAGAATAGAATAGAAAATCATTTATTCAAATAAACTTAATTTAAGCACTTTTGAATAGTCATAACAATTTTTTTATCTACCGCTCGTTCGGAAAACTGTCTCATCACAAGAAGAACGAGCAAGAAACTTGTGTGTTGCTCTTTTAAATAATCCTTGTAAGTTTACATTTACAAGTCGAAACGTGTGAATACAAACTACCAACCAGCACTAATTCATTTGGGTCAAATATAAATCTTATATATAAAATTCACGTGTCACAATTTTCGTTCCCATACTCCTCCGAAACGGCTTGACCGATTCTCATGAAATTTTGTGAGCGTATTGAGTAGGTCTGAGAATCGGCCAACATCTATTTTTCATCCCCCTAAATGTTAGGGGTAGTCCACCCATATTTTTTTTTATTTTAAGGCAAAGCAACGTTTGCCGGGACAGCTAGTAATTAATTTAATACTACCCGTTTTCTACACAATATTATAGTCAAACTCAGACGATCGTGGTGACGCTCAGTGTCACATATAGAAGTAAGTGCGTGCTCTCACTTTGCGGGAATAAGTCGGTGTTTTAAAGTTCCATCATTTATAAACACTTTAGTTTTAAATTTTGCGTAACTCTAATTGAATTTTGTATTTTTTTCTCTACCATCCAGTTCAGAGTTCAATTGAGAAGAACTTTATTAATCTATTTTAAGATCATGTGTAGACGCTTTAGTTTTAAATTTTCCGTAAACTCTTTAATTGAATTTTGTATTTCTTTCTCTACCATCCAATTCAGAGTTCAATTGAGAAGAACTTTATTAATCTATTTTGAGATCATGTGTAGACGCTTTAGTTTTAAATTTGCGTAATTCTTTAATTGAATTTTGTATTTTTTTCTCTACCATCCAATTCAGAGTTCAATTGAGAAGAACTTTATTAATCTATTTTGAGATCATGTGTAGACGCTTTAGTTTTCAATTTTCCGTAAACTCTTTAATTGAATTTTGTATTTTTTTCTCTACCATCGAATTCAGAGTTCAATTGAAAAGAACTTTATTAATCTATTTTAAGATCATGTGTAGACGCTTTTGTTTTAAATTTTCCGTAAACTCTTTAATTGAATGTTGTATTTTTTTCTCTACCATCCAGTTCAGAGTTCAATTGAGAAGAACTTTATTAATCTATTTTGAGATCATGTGTAGACGCTTTAGTTTTAAATTTGCGTAATTCTTTAATTGAATTTTGTATTTTTTTCTCTACCATCCAATTCAGAGTTCAATTGAGAAGAACTTTATTAATCTATGTATTTTGAGATCATGTGTAGACGCTTTTGTTTTAAATTTTCCCTAAACTCTTTAATTGAATTTTGTATTTTTTTCTCTACCATCCAATTCAGAATTCAATTGAGAAGAACTTTATTAATCTATTTTGAGATCATGTGTAGACGCTTCAGTTTTAAATTTTCCGTAAACTCTTTAATTGAATTTTGTATTTTTTTCTTTACCATCCAATTCAGAGTTCAATTGAGAACTTTATTAATCTATTGTAAGGTCGTGTGGAGACACTTTAGGCAACTCACAACGTTTGCAATATTTTATCGTACGAGCCGCGTTTAAGCTTCACTAATTCTCTTTTTACAACCGTTTTTGCCGGCTCTCCTTTGCTCCGAAATATCGTTTACGGCTACCGGAATATGTATATTGTTTACTTACTGTTTGATGGACCACCCACGCCGACGTGTATCGAGTTATATTATACAAAGTTGTTTTATATAACTTTAGTACAAATTTAGCATTTATTTGAATAGCATATAAAGTAATAAATACATTAAGTTGGAGACAAAATCATAGTATAAACCAACCTTTTTAGTAATCTTCCTAGTATTATAAACGTGGATTTTTTGAATGGAGATGAATGGATGGATAAAATGTTTGTTACTCTTTCACGCAAAAACTTCTGAATGGTTTTTAATGAAACTTCACGATAATAATAATAATAAGAAATCATTCCAATCGTTATGTCGGTGAACGGTCTTATCCCAACCAGTCTGGAACAACATCTCAGACGGTTGGGAGTCCGAGGCGGCTGACTCCCGGGAAAGATGCAGAAAGCTGTGCTCTTTGATTCTGCCCGCATTGTACGCCGTTTTCTCTCCCTGGGGCCCTGAACCCCGGCCGACTGTGCTTTTGCAGGGGGTATCTTGCCATCTCCTCTCCTTAAGAGGGGAGATGAGAATTTTTGGAAAAAAAAAAATATCTCAGGACAATTTACACAGCGCCATCTAGTCCCAACCTAAGCAGAGCTTGTGTTATGGGTACTAGCCAACTAATATAAATACATGGATACATTTTTTTTGTAAATAAATACATATTATACATAGAAAACATCCAGACCGATACAAACAATCAATGGTAGAGAATGCCATATGGCATTAAGCTCGCCTTTTGTACACGTGTTTTTTGTACAATAAAGAATAAAAAAAAAAAACAATCATACTCATGAATACAAACGTTTGTACCGTGCGAGGAATCGAACCCACGACCATCGGATAGTAAAGCGGAGTATTAACCACTAGACCATCGAGGCTGTCGATAATATAATGTAACAACAGAATAATAGATAGCCGTTGCCTCCACCGCTTTTATTTCAGTAAGATAGTGTAGAAAAGTTGGCACTGCTGACTCAAGAGCATAACACAGTGGCGCCCCCAATCAATTTCTGACGACAGTGGCAAGATCCCACATTTTCTTCCGATAATAAAACAATATTAATAAAAAAAATCATAACAAAATAACTGTTACCTTGTTACAGACACTCGGCTGTGGACGTCTCCAATGGATCCAACAGGGAACACGACAGCAGATGGCCCTCATCAGATAACAATAGGTTCGTAGAAGATATTGATGGAATTATACTACATCTGAGCCCTGGGAGCAATTGGAACAGGTTGAATAGAGGTTGCACTTGCTTCGGCAGTATCATCATCTGCTTCTTCCTTATCTCATTTATTTGTGGTCGGCGTAATATGTTTATCTCTTCCATTCATCCCTGTTCGCAGTCATCTCGTTATTTACTCGTATTCTTACCATATCATCTCTCACACAGTCAATCCATCTCTTTTTCGGTCCTTATAACCATCCACATTCATATGTAACACCTTCCTAAAAATATTATCTTCATTCCTACGAATTACATGCCCATATCAATACAGACGATTACTCTTCAACCTCTCCGACACCGGTGCCACTTTCATACTACCTCTAATGTATTCATTCTTTATCTTATCCATTCTTGTCACACCACACATCCATCTCAACATTTTCATTTCAGTTACGTGCAGTCGTCTTTCATCCGTCGTCTTTTCTTCGGGAGCACATATACTAAAATTGAAATTAATAAATACCATATATATATATATATATATATATGGTATTTATTAATTTCAATTTTATTTGCATATGCATATATATAATACAGAACAATACAAAGAAGATTAGGACCGCTCGCCATCGACAGGGAATGCATCCCCACACCTAAGTGTTCTGGGACAGTGTGGTTTCAGAGTTCCTCCCGCGTACAGTTAAATTGTGGAATGAACTGCTTGCCGATGGTTTCTCGAGAAACTACAGCATATTAAGGTTTCTTAAGGGTCGCCAACGCACCCCTGGTGTTTCAAGCGTCTATAGACTATGGTAATCATTTACTATCACATGGGCCGTTTGCCATAGATGGCACGCACTACGTAGACGTAGTAAACAAAAAGGATTTGCATGGACCCTGTGCAAGGATGATACGCGAAATCGTGAAGCGTTCCATATTTTTTTTACTGCCGTCGGAGTCGAAGGCACGCCTAGTCATAAAGCAGGCATAATTCTACTGATAGAAATACTTGAGCACATTTTTGTAGTATGGTAACTGATAGAGTTAGCTAGCAGTTATATTAACCGCATATAAAATGCCGCCGATAGACATTGAACAAAATAAACTATATGTCAGATCAAACGTGTTCTCGTAACGGCGTATGTCTCAGTTCAACACATGATTCTTACTCGACTGCGAAATAGCTGATATATAATATATATATATATATATATTAAAATAGTCCCTAAAAAAGTAGAAAGCCTGGTAATTGATGCGGAAAGAAAGGAAAGGAAAAAAAAGGCTGATGGTAAAGACATTTATTTCAAAAGTTACAATAATAATACAACAAAGACAAAAAAACACAATTATAATATAAAAGAGATACGTAATGCAGAATTATGCACAATAATAGTGAATAATTTAAACACAAAAGTGTTTACAAAAACTTAATTATATATCTATATAGATATAGTTTACTCCTTATATATTATTACTGTTCTCACAATTTTTCACAATTTCCAAGGGGAACCATCATGATATATCCTGGTGTATTTGCCACGATGTGCTAACTGACCTGACCTCATGCTCATCTTATCATCCTCCACTGGTGCCCCGCCAGCGTAAACCGTTAGCGCAGGTGGATGCATCATTCCATTATCATCTATTACCTTGGTTTATATTTTTGGGTAACAAAGTCTTTTTTCAAATTCAAATTCAAAATATCTTTATTCATGTAGGTCTATTACAGACTCTTATGATATGTCAAATCTACCGTCAGTTCGGAATGATACCGAGATGAGAAGAACTGACAAGAAATTCTGCTCGTATTTTTTTAAAATAAATATTGTACATATTTACAATAATACAGATTCATTTAAATTCAAATTTGGGAGAATAGTGTCCACCAGAATATGCTATTGCAGAAAACAAAAAATCTAATCAGTGTTCGCAATCTGAACAGACCAGTCCCCACAAGCTTTTACCTTTCTTTTGTCCAGCTGGAGAGGTAATTTCCTTAAAAACGTCCGTAGAAACTTTGTCGTTGGTCTAAACCGCAAGCTTCACTTTCCTGCTCTTGTTGGCTAATTGTTGCTTTCTAATTTGCAATTACTTCACAATATCTACAAACGATTCTTTCTTTTTCGCGCTTGTTTTAGTAACTTTATCCAAGTTAAATTAACTTTGTTTTAAGTTAAGTATAAATTAAAGATGTACAAGTCATGACCCTTTACAATTACAAGAATACTAGTTGCTACCTGTGACTTTACGTTTCTCCTAGCGTTGCCCTCAGTCTAAAATCGTGTCCGTCAGATAGGATGGCCTTCAGCTGCTCCATACGTACTAGTGCGGGTTTGGAGTACCATCTGCACTCGCCCTCATTTCTTCACTTGAAGCTGTAAAATCCAGCTACCGTTAACAGCATTAGAAAAGTCCCAAAAGCTAAAAGGCTCACAAAGATCTTTCAGAAACACTCTCTGCTTTTGGCGAAACCAATGGACTAATAATCCCATTGCTAGCAAAGTACCATGACCTTTATTTATAAACTTTCGTGTTTAATATACATTATTTATATTATTAACCGAGTCTTAACACGAATAATTTTATGATAAAACCTGTCTCAACGTTTTAACTAGGTTGCACTAGCCGTGGTCACGAGCTGACTGAAGTAACAGCGATGTCAATCTAGATAGGTGACAGAAGTTCTTCCATCTACCGTCACTAGATTGTTCAACGAAAGTTCACGACACACAGCACTCACGTATCCGCACACTTATTGACTGTTGATGCTACTGAACTTTGCTTGAATTTATTTATGACTGGATTCCACGCAGAAGATAATTTTAATAATTTCAATAATATACCATGTCAGGTTCACCTCCACATGGTTCCCCTAAACCTTCATAATAAATTCCTAGTGAATTCCCGATGGGCTAACTGACCTGAGCTCAAGTTCATCTTATTATCCTCCACTGGAAACCATGGTAAAGTACCATTTGCCAAAATAAGCCAACTCACCTGACTTTGCATGCCCAAAATATGCATCCAAAGTTACGAATTTAATTTCCAAAAAGAACTGATTTCCAGCAAGAAATTGTCGTCGTTCCTCGTCCTAGCGTCCAACTCACTCGTTCATTCATTTCCCTTCACTTGTATATTCATTCTCTCGTCATCATCATGTTCTAATTCATGAATACATCGTTCAGTTAATACAGACGTTCCGTTACATACCAATCCCACATGTTAGAATTCACATGATTATTCTTGTAGAAAAAATCCGATATTTTAAAAATATATTAAAAGAAGGTAGTTTGTTTTTAGTACTAATGAAGTACCCAATGTAAAGATTATTACAAATATTGTAAATAGCGCCATCTAGTATTTATAGACCAACCTACTACACTCACTTTGGTCTATAAATACGGAGGTCGGTAGTTTAATAATCCTCTTTCGTTGCGTGAGCCGCGGCATTCAGTCGACGAGCGCAGAGCGTGCCAGTTGTGTTTTGTATACTAAAGTGAATTGTATTAGCAATGGGTTTATCCCGGTCTTAGTTGGGCCTGGGGGGAAGCTGCAAGTAGTGAAGGTGAGTGTTAATGCATTCTAAAAGGGCCTTTTAAACCTACACCCGTGTCACAAGTCACGGGCGCTACTTGGGGTTTCCCTTGCGGTAGCCGGCTTCAAAGCCTCAGACGTCCATCATAAATAGTGCTTCTATAATATATATTATATTATATATGTGTGTAACATATATAATATAATATATTGTATTATTATTGAGACAATAATAACATATCAACAATATCACCAGGATACAATATATAAATATAGACATATTTATATATTATATTCTGGTGATTTGTCACGATGTCTAACTGACCTGACCTCATGCTCATCTTATCATCCTCCACTGGTGCCCCGCCAGAGTCAACCATTACCGCACGATGCATCGTTTCATCATCATCCATAAATAAAGCACCGATAAAAATATATTCATCAAATGACCGTAATATCGTGAGCATATTTATTTTATGTTATTTGCTAAGAAATTATCAGAGCCCGTGTCGCTTCGCGCAGGTCGGGTCCTCGTCTTGTTTTTGCAGCTGTTATACGTAATTACGTTATCTCACAAAGGCTGTTGTAGAGCATATACGATATGTTATCCAGTGGGGAATAATATATATTGCATGGCAATGGCGTGCATGGCAATAGTAGTTCATGCACTGGATTTTCATTTAATGTTAGACATAGACACTTATATAAATATAAATTGTAAATAAACTGGCTTTTAAAGAAAAGTAATCCAATTGAGTTTCTTGCCAGTTCTTCTCAATTGGATCTATATACCGAGCTGTACGGTAGGGAAAAAATAAAAATTATAATGTAAAAAATTTGACGTACATAAGCGACTAAAATGTCCTACATGAATAAATGATTTTTTAATTTGAATTTGAATTCAAAACCTTCCCAAACTGAGCGTAAACCCACTTGTGATAATAAATCAAAATTTGAGAATTTAATGATTTTTACGATTTATTTGTTCGTCCGCTAATAGAAATGTGGAAATAGGTGATTACGGAAAAAATCGGTTGTTAAATTAATTAATTAATAATCTGTTCTTCCATCTGGCTAAATCTTATATATAAAATTCTCCTGTCACAGTTTTCATTCCCATACTCCTCCGAAACGGCTTGACCGATTCTCATGAAATTTTGTGAGCGTATTGAGTAGGTCTGAGAATCGGCCAACATCTATTTTTCATCCCCTAAATGTTAGGGGTAGTCCACCCCTAAATTTTTATTTTTATTTTAAGGCAAAACAACGTTTGCCGGGACGGCTAGTAATCTATAAAAAGAAGGACCGAGGCCAAAATTAGTATATTAAAATACGAAAAGAGATCTTTAATATGAATTTATTTTTTTAACAAATTTATATTAAATCAGTAAATTATGATTTACTAGTCACTCACCCCCGCATCACACGTGTGTATATGTATTACACAAATAAACCTTCCTCTTGAATCACTCTATCTATTTAAAAAAACCGCTTCAAAATCTGTTGCATAGTAAAGATTTAAGTATACATAGGGACGGACAGACAGCGACAGCGACCTTGTATTATACTATGCAATGATTCAGTGTAATTCAATAAAAAAAATCCATTGCAACTAAGTTGATATTTTCAAAATGAAAAGATAATATATTGATAGGTAAACCAAATATTAAACTTCTGTTGTAAATAAAACAATTTATTTGTTAGACAAATATTTTAACAGTAGAACAGAATCATAGACAAGGTAACATATATTCAATATTTTGTTTCATATTTTTGATTGAAGAATAGAAAAAATAAACTTCAAATATATTGCTATTAAAAATAGTTTCTCAACACGATGTTACTAAATTCATGTGATTATATTTAATTGTTGTAACTCATAGTAAATGTATTTTTTTATTTAGGACACATTAGCCGCTTATGAACGTCAAATTTTTTACATTATAATTTTAAAATCCCCACCGTACAATCTAAATATATATAACTCAAAGGTAACTGACGTATTGATCTATCAACACACAGCTCAAACCACTGGACCGATCGGGCTGAAATTTGGCATGCAGGTAGATGTTATAACGTAGGCATCCGCTAAGAAAGGATTTTGATTAATTCTACCCCCAAAGGGATAAAATAGGGGATGAAAGTTTATATTAAACTTTGGCAATTTTAAACCGATCGGGCTGAGACTTTGCATCCATAAAGCTACTATGACATAGGCATCACCTAAGAAAGGATTTTGATAAATTCCACCCATAAGGGGATAAATGAACGCGAGCGCAGCCGCGGGCAAAAGCTAGTTCAGTATATACCTACATCCAATTGAGAAGAACTGGCAAGAAACTCAATTGAATTACATTTTTTTTAAAAGCCAGTTTATTTACAATGTATATTTATATAGGTGTCTATGTCTAACATTAAATGAAAATCCCGTGCATGAACAACTATTGCAAATTAAATTTATATATATATATATATATAAATTTAATTTGAACAACTAGTTGATATCACTAATATTCAAATTGCTAGGACATTTTAGCCACTATTGAATGTTAAAATTTTTATATTACAATTTGTTCCCTACCGTATACAGATCCGACTGAGAAGAACTGGCGAGAAACTCAATCCTTTATTCCGAGTTAAATATCACATTCATCTGTATTACAGATGAATGTGATATTTAACTCGGATAACAAAATTATTTAGATTGTAATCCCTTTCACCCTCTCGGGGATGAAAATCGTCGAAATTCTAAACAGTACGTACTCGATTATCTAATATTTCTTGAGGGTTTAAAGAGAAGAGAACAAAAGAGGTAAATAAATTGGGAATAAGCTTAGATATATTGTACTAGCTGAGGGGATCTTCGTCTGAGTCTCATTACACCGTTTTCGTATTATTTTTCATTACAGCTCGGCTCCTATACGTCGTAGCGTGATGTTATATATGTTATATATGATGTTATAGGCTGTATAACATCACGTCACACAATACAACTGTACAATAATTGTTGTATATTGTTTATTAAATATTATGTCATTCATTATTTGACGACCTCGGTGGTCTAGCGGTCAAGCACACCGCTTTACGACCGATGGTCGCGGGTTCGATTCCTCGCACGGCACAAACATTTGTATTCATGAGTATGATTGTTTGTATCGGTCTGGGTATTTTCTATGTATAATATGTATATATTTACAAAAAATAAATATCTATGTATATGTATCAGTTATCTAGTACCCATAACACAAGCTCTAACTAGCTTAACTTGGGTCTAGATGGCTCTGTGTGAATTGTCCTGAGATTATTATTATTATTAATCTATGGTATCTGTACAGTGGCAGATAGCTTTATCTTATTTATCTGTTTTTTTTTATTGTGCACTACTCTGTGCAGTTTTGGTCTTAAAAAATATTTTTTTGTACTTTTAAAATCAGTTGTCCGTTTTTGTGTGTTACTGTAATAGACGTATTTTTTCGTATGTGCACTTAAAGTTTTATTCAAGTTAAATAACAATAATAAACAACACAACTGCATAACATATTCCTTGATAATTGGACTATGTAACACCACAGATAATATAATATTACATAGTAACACTAAAATTGATTGGATTGATACATTCAAAAGCCTCATCGATACATATTTATACATATATATACTTCTGTAAACATTTACGCACGCCGTGGCAATCAGTAATTAAGTCAACACTATATACCTCTTTGCAAGTGATAATAATTGTAACCTCATAGGGTATGTCTTGTTGGTCGCTCAAATAAATAAATTATTTGAGCGACCAACATTTAGAAAGGATTTCAGGATTTAAGAAAGTCTTTCAATATTTAAAAGATATAATATTACATACAGATATTATATCTTTTAAATATTGAAAGACTTTCTTAAATCCTGAAATCCTTTCTAAATGTTGGTCGCTCAAATAAAAGGTTTAAGCTGATTTAAGTTACAATTATTATCTGTAAAATTCACTAATTAACAATTGCCAGTAAATCTTCGAGTGAAGTGCCTAGCCACTAGTTTAATATACGTTTAAAAGATTTTAATACATTAATATTATGTTTTTGAAGTCTTTATTCTTTTGAACTTTGATTATAATAATAATAATCTTAGGACAATTCACACAGCGCCATCTAGACCCAAGTTAAGCTAGCTAAAGCTTGTGTTATGGGTACTAGATAACTGATACAAATACATAGATATTTTTTTTTTTTTGTAAATACATACATATTATATATAGAAAACACCCAGACCGATACAAACAATCATACTCATGAATACAAATGTTTGTGCCGTGCGAGGAATCGAACCCGCGACCATCGGTCGTAAAGCGGTATACTAGACCGCTGGACCACCGAGGTCGTCAAGATTATGAATAATTTCATGTTTCTTTGTGATGTATTATTAGGATAAAAGCGTAAAAACGAGTAATTGATTAAATAAATTAAGACTATTACTGACTATTATAATATGTCAAATCTACCGTCAGGATTTGCCATTAATGCCCCATATCAGGGACTGGGGTAAGGGCATTGTGAGTAATGTGCATTAATGAACCATTGTTAGCCATATGACATCCTCGTTGGTTTAGTGGTTTAGCACACCGCCTTACTTCCGATGGGCGCAGGTTCGATTCCTCGTGCGACACAAATATTTGTATTCATGAGTATGATTGTGTGTGTTTTTATACTACGCAAAAAAAAATATGTATTTGTATATTGTATGAATTGTCCAGGGTTATTTGGTTACTAGCTGTACCCGCGACATCTTCCGCATGGAATTTAACTATATTTTTCTAAAATAAAAGTAGCCTCAGTTACTCATTACTTCATAAGTTACTTGCCAAAAAATCCCGTCAAAATCGGTCCAACCATTTTAGAGATTAGCCGAAACAAATAGATAGACACAAAAACTGTAAAAAATGATAATTTGGTGTATGTACCGTATTTATATCATATGCATAGAAAACGGTTATTTCAACATTACAAACAGACACTCTAATTTTATTTATATGTATAGATGTGTATACTTTGTCTACAGGCTGTCCACATACACAGCGACCGGCGACCGGTCGACTCTGCTACGGTCACACGCAGCCAAGTCTGCAGAGTGCAGTGGTCAGACCTCGCCGCGACCTCGGCGGCTCCCGAGAGAGTCCCGGCGAGTGTCCCTCGCACAGGCTTCTGGTTACGTCCAGCTCAACCAGTATAGACTCCTGGAGCCTATTGGACAGGTTGGTTGACAATTTATACCATCTAGTCATATCTAGAATAGAAAATGATATTCAAATAAACTTATATTGAAGCACTTTTGAATAGTCGTCACATTTTTTACAATCTATCGTTCATTCGGTAAGCACAAGAAGAACGAAAAAGAAACTTGCGCGTTGCTCTTTTAAATAAAACTCTTTTAGAAAACACTTAGACCGATGCAAACCCTCCGATCGATACCCCGTCCAATTCAAACGGGGATCGAAATTACGACGGCATGAGCCGAGGTTCGAATCCCTAACGGTGCCCTCAGACTAAAGTCGTATCCGTCAGGCGGGAGTTAGCCTTCAGCCGCTCCATAAGTCCTTCCGCGGGTTTGGAGTGCCATCTGCACTCACCCCCTAACGTTCGGTGAAACTGTAAAGGCCAGCTGCGCTCAACAGCATTAGAGTAGGCCGAAAAAAAAAACCTCCGATCGATCCCCCGGCCAATTCCAATACACTTCATAAAATACCTTTTATTAATTAAATAAAACATAGAATAGAATAGAAAATCATTTATTCAAATAAACTTTTCAAGATACCCTATATTAAGGTTTTTTTGTAACGGTAAGAAGAATAAGCAAGAAACTTGCTCTTTTAGAAAACACCTAGACCGATGCAAACCCTCCGATCGATCCCCCGTCTAATTCAAACGGGGATCGAAATTACGACGGCATGAGCCGAGGTTCGAATCCCTAACGGTGGGCCGTCCATAGGCGCTCGTTTGCCACCTACATGGTATAAAAAAAACTTACATTGAACGCCTGAATAGTCGTCACATTTTTTTTAATATATCGCTCATTCGGTAAGCTGTCTCATCACAAGAAGAACAAAAAGAAACTTGCTTGATCGATCCCCCGTCCAATTCAAACGGGGATCGAAATTACGATAGCCTAAGCCGAGGTTCGTACCTCTAGCAGTGCCCTCAGACTAAAGTCATATCCGTCAGGCGGGAGTTGGCCTTCAGCCGCTCCATAAGTCCTTCCGCGGGTTTGGAGTGCCATCAGCACTCGACCCTACCGGTGAAGCTGTAAAGCCACCAGAAAAATAGAGGTCCAAAAAAACCTGGACGGTTCGATAGTAAGAAATGTAAAACATGCCCATAAATACACTACATTCTTAAGTAAACGATCATTTTCATCTGCAACCAACCACGACAGTCCGCAGATGGTATAAATGATTTTCATCGGAATCCGTGCGGAGCTGACTGCATTCCATATACCGTGGAATGCATCCTATATAATTGTACTAATTACGCACTTAAACTCATAAGTATTTAACTCATTTTTCATCAACAACAAAATTTAAGTTTTTTTATTGCATAGGGTGTAGTAAAACGTCAGATCATTCTCGAACTGATTTTAACGGGGTACTTCTATATACTAAAGCATACAAACCTTGCAATATACCCACATAAATTAATATTATAAAATTATTACTACACTCATTTGTCATCAACAACAAAAAGCAAGTATAAGCAGCAAGCTGGTGCTGCTCACCTGATTGTAAGTGATTACACTGCCCATGAGCACCCGCAATATCAGGAGAATTGCAAGTGCGTTACCAGCCTTTTAAGAAGGAATAAACTCTTTTCTTGAAGGTTTCAATTCAAATTCAAAATATCTTTATTCATGTAGGTCTATTACAGACTCTTATGATATGTCAAATAAATATCATATCTGTTCGGAAATACCATTGCTAGAAGTTGATTCCACAACGTTGTGCGTGGTCAAAAGTTTCTGGAAAACCGCACTGTGGAGGACCGCCATTCAGCCAGATGATCAGGTGGTATTTTAGTTTCTGGCCGTACCACCCGTACGGTGGTAAAACTCAGCAGCTGGTATTAATCCGAACAATTCCTCGAACACTCCGCGTGATATATGCGGTAGAAATTGCACAGAGATGTAATGTCTCGTCGCAAAGCCAATGGGTCGAGTCCGTCACTATAGTTGTATAAAAAAGCTGATATACGACTTACAAACAAAATTGAGGGCATCAGCTAGTTCTCACTAATTCATTCATAATGCTCTTTCCATTTTCCACGATCTTCCATCATGTTCTTTAAATGTTCACACGACACGATTTCCCTCCGCTCGATCCCCCATCCAGTTCTGTTCAAACAGGGATCAAAATTACGACTGCCTGAGCCGAGGTGCAAACCCCGAGCGGTGCCATCAGACTAAAGTCGTATCCGTCAGGCGGGAGTTGACCTTCAGCCGCTCCATAAGTCCTTCTTCGAATTTAGAATGCCATCTGCACTCGCTCCCTACCGTCCGGTGAAGCTGTAAAGGCTAGCTGCGGCAAACAGCACTAGAGTAGTCCGAAAATATAACTATTCCGCTTTTGTCTTTAATTTGCTTGATATAGCTGTGCCTTAGTCTTTCTCTCCGCCTCTTTTCTTCTATCTTTTCCTAATAATAATTTTCACAAATTCTCTTTATCTCCGCCTCTTTCCTTCTATATTTTCCTAATAATATTTTTTATAAATTCTCTTTCTCTCCGCCTCTTTCTTTCTATCTTTTCCTAATAATAATTTTCATAAATTCTCTTTCTCTCCGCCTCTTTCCTTAAATTTTTTCTAATAATAATTTTCATAAATTCGTCGTTCCGTATCAAGTGCCATAACATTTTTCCTTGTCTATTTTCTATAGTAGCTCTTTCTATATATTCCCAATTCTATATATATATATATATATACTCTCCATAGAGACGATACAATGAATACTTGCTCAGTTCGTTTGTCTTTAAGTATGTCATAACCCACAGTTGCGATAACGATCTCTTAATTTCAGTTACGCACATAAACCGAGCAACGCAGGGGTACGACCGGGTTTATGTTTTGGTACATTTATTACGGAACATTTTACGACTCTCTGTCTACGATTTGGATATATAAATATATAACTCTATAGCTTACCATCAGATCGGCCTATGCCTATATGCTTGAGTGCCACCATCTTCGAAAAATAAACTGCGCCATTACATTACATTAGTGTATGTATCGTATTTATTCATATGCATGTAAAAACGGTTATTTCAATATTACAAACAGACGCTCCAATTTCATTAATATGTATAGATAACAATACAATGTTATAGTGAGCACCCTATTACAAGTACATTTTTAGTAATGTGGACTGATGAGCCCATTGCTAGGAATGTACCAGGTCAGGTTGACCTCCACGCAGTTCCCTCTGGAAACCATCTTGATAAATTCCTAGTGAATGTGCCAGGATGGGTGAGCACTGTTTTACAAGTGGATTATTAGTAATATGGACTGATGAGCCCATTGCTAGGAATGTACCAGGTCAGGTTGACCTCCACGCAGTTCCCTCTAGAAACCATCTTGATAAATTATAACCTAGTGAATGTGCCACGATGGGTGAGCACTGTTTTACAAGTGGATTATTAGTAATGTGGACTGATGAGCCCATTGCTAGGAATGTACCAGGTCAGGTTGACCTCCACGCAGTTCCCTCTAGAAACCATCTTGATAAATTCCTAGTGAATGTGCCACGATGGGTGAGCACTGTTTTACAAGTGGATTATTAGTAATGTGGACTGATGAGCCCATTGCTAGGAATGTACCAGGTCAGGTTGACCTCCACGCAGTTCCCTCTGGAAACCATCTTGATAAATTCCTATTGTATTTGCCAGGATGGGTGAGCACTCTTTTACAAGTGGATTATTAGTAATATGGACTGATGAGCCCATTGCTAGGAATGTACCAGGTCAGGTTGACCTCCACGCAGTTCCCTCTGGAAACCATCGTCATATATTCCTAGTGAATGTGCCACGATGGGTGAGCACTGTTTTACAAGTGGATTATTAGTAATATGGACTGATGAGCCCATTGCTAGGAATGTACCAGGTCAGGTTGACCTCCACGCAGTTCCCTCTAGAAACCATCTTGATAAATTCCTAGTGAATGTGCCACGATGGGTGAGCACTGTTTTACAAGTGGATTATTAGTAATGTGGACTGATGAGCCCATTGCTAGGAATGTACCAGGTCAGGTTGACCTCCACGCAGTTCCTTCTAGAACCATCCTAATACATTCCTTGTGAAATTGCTACAATGGGCTGACCTGACCTTCTCATGCTCATCTTATCATCCTCCATTGGTGACCCAGTAGCGTAAACCGTTAGCGCAGGCGGGTTGACTATTCCATTATACACACACCTCACAGACAGTCGCCAATAATATTGCTCCTTTTTATTATATATTTATTTTAATTATTATTTTCAAGTACCCTCAAATGGGTTGAAGCTGAAAATTAGTGTTTTGTTCCCTGAACAATGTTCCACGCTGAGCTTCGACCTTTTTGTATTGCTACAGATCACACATAATAACACAAACTTGTATCGTATGTCATATTGTTTGTTCTTGTTCTTGAACATGTTGTATGTGATTAGTAATAAACAAATAAACAATTTATTTATTGTCTTCAAACTAAGCGAGCTTTACAGCTTCCCAATATCCTCGCTTAGGAAAAAATGTACAAAATATGAAATATTAATAATTATTAATTAATTAATTATTGTTTTAATATATATTTTTTGTGTAATTACACAAAAAATATATATTAAAACAATAATAACCGACAATTTTACGTGTTATATAGGAAATCGATTGCCATTCTGCTAAAATTCAACAAGTCACATGTAAATATCTATATATCTATCTATATCTTATCACTATGACTGATTGGTAGTTTGTATTCACACGTTTCGACTTGTAAACGTAAACTTACAAGGATTATTTAAAAGAGCAACACACAAGTTTTTTGCTCGTTCTTCTTGTGATGAGACAGCTTTTCGAACGAGTGGTAGATAAAAAACAGATTGTTATGACTATTCAAAAGTGCTTAAATTAAGTTTATTTGAATAAATGATTTTCTATTCTATATATATATCATCTAATATAAATATAGGTTATTTAATATAAATTTTAATTCGAAAATTTGTTTGTATAGATTAACAAAATATAATTATTGTTTACAGGGTTCGTACGGCATCGTTAAGTTAGCGTACAATGAAGAAGACGATACGCACTACGTAAGTATTTTTTTTAATGTCAGTTGCTTTAAATTATTTTAACACGAGTTGCTCTTAAAGGTACAAACTCTATCCCAGTGAACACGCGTATGAACAGATCCGCAGAGGTAAACTGAGATTAGGGTAACTTATAAATTAAACTACAGAAATCCTTCCACGTTGATATATTTTCATATTTGTCTTTTTTTCGGACTACTCTAATGCTGTTGGCCGCAGCTGGCCTTTACAGCTTCACCGGACGATAGGGGGCGAGTGCAGATGGCACTCCAAAATAGAGAAAGGAAACTGGAACTGTTGAAGGCCATCTAAAACGGAAACAAACTGTCGTCACCGTCCCTTATGCTGAAATCTTTAAAACTAAGCAACGGATTTTGAAGCGGTTTTTTTTAATAGATAGAGTGTTCAAAATATACCCTGTACCATCGTAAGCACAGATTATTATATTAGAGTCCGTTAGTTTCTGTTCCCGCGTCTTTCCTTCCCCTCCCTTACCTAGTAACAAACGGACCGTACAGCGGCCTTGACGCGCGCGCGCATTTGTTGTGAATTAAAATAAATTAGAACTGTGAAACCTACTGTGAAACTGGAAAGCTAGCGAAGATACCTTCGAGACCCTGAAGCACAAGAAATCCGCAGAACCATACAGGTACGTGACAGACGCTTTTCCCTATATATATACATAGTAAATTTCCTAACATTTTGGTGGCAGAGAGTAGATCCCTAACATAGAGTGATTCAAGAGGAAGGTTTATATATATAATACATGTACACCCGTGCGAAGCTAGGGCGTGTAGCTAGTATATAATATAGCAGAGTTGGCATACAGTTCTTTCTGTTTATAAATAACGTATCTAACGTCTTATATACAAACAAACCTTCGTCTATGTATATGTATTAGTATATATATAGACAGAGAGATAGATTTTAATATTAATGTCACTTGGGCCTCAGAGACAAGCGCGAGCGGCTGAGGTGACTACGTTTAGTCAATTTATGGTTTATTTATGAATAGAATTACTTAGTATTATGTCTTATTTTAAGGCAATTGCGTAAGGTTTTACAATAAAGTACCAGAGTATGTTATAAATCTGCCAGAAAAAAGATTTAAATGTCAAATAAAACAGTTCCTTTGCAAAAAAGCTTACTATAAAATTGAAGAATTCGTTAACGATAATAATGTTTTTATAGAAAAACTTTAAATCCATAGCACTGACAATATTATCTGATTACATTAATAATGAGTGCGTAGCGACTTCTATGTTGATTATCGCATGCCTCTTACTTGTTATACTGTAATTATTTATATAAAAAAAAAATCTATTAAAAAGAGCAACACACAAGTTTCTTGCTCATTCTTCTTGTGATGAATCTGCATTCCGAATGAGTGGTAGAATCAAAATATGACTATTCAAAAGTGCTTGTAATGAGTTTATTTGAATAAAGATTATTTCTATTTCTATAGTATACCAACTAACCGCAACTTCGTCTGTGTTTCATTCCTCACCTTTTGCAATATTTGTCATTGCAGCTCCGCTCCTATTGGTCGTAGTGTAAACTTATATTATATATAAAATTCTCGTGTCACAGTTTTCGTTCCCATACTCGTCCGAAACGGCTTGACCGATTCTCATGAAATTTTGTGAGCGTATTGAGTAGATCTGAGAATCGGCCAACATCTATTTTTCATCCCCCTAAATGTTAGGGGTAGTCCACCCCTAATTTTTTTTTTCTAAGGCAAAACAACGTTTGCCGGGACAGCTAGTGTTATATAGTTTAAAGCCTTCCTCGATAAATGGACTATCCAACACAAAATATTATAATGTAAAAACTTGACGTTCATAAGCGGCTAAAATGTCCTACATGAATAAATGATTTTTGAATTTGAATTAGAATTCAAAAATAATTTTTCAATTCGAACCAGTAGTTCCTGAGATTAGCGCATTCAAACAAACAGACACAAACTCTTTACTATGTTTAAATACATTTATTTTTGTAAATACATACATAATATATATAAAAGTCCAGACCGATACAAACTATCATACTCATGAATATAAATATATTTATACCGCGCGGGATCGAACCCACGACCGTAACAAGTAAAGCGTGCCAATGAGTCTATTCCACAGTAACATTAATTATTCTCATCAGGCAATGAAGATTCTGTCAAAGCGGAAGCTGATGCGGCGAGCCGGCCTGTTCGGCAGGACCCCACCTAGAAGACCAGGGCCTGGTCCTCCACCGGATCCTCTGCAACGTGTGTACCGGGAAATTGCTGTACTTAAGAAACTGGACCATCCTAATGTTGTTAAATTAGTTGAGGTGAGTGTATAGCCTTTGTTGAGTTGTTCACTTCTTATCAATAGACTATCCGATGCAGCCAAGTTATTGTTCTGGATGGTATCATATTAGATTAAGTTTTTTAGTTTATTTTTGTTAATTAGTATAGGTACGATGGGATTGTCATCGCCACATTATGTGCACAAAAATCCCAAAAAAAAAAATAAAGTGAAAAAAAAAAAAAAGAAAAAATCAATGGACTAGCTGTGCCCGCGACTTCGTACGCATGTTGTAGTCACCTTGCCCAAATAAATGAAAAATATTCAATAATCTAACCCAAATTACCCAAAAAAAAATTACGTAGCTTGACTTCAAAAATGTCGATTTTCTATACAAACTTTCATCCCCTATTTTATTTTAACCACTAAGGGTAAAATTACCAACTTTGAATATTATATTTATTTATATTTAATCAACATCCTAAACAATAAGTTTCAAGCATTAATGATGATACTTTCATATAAACTTTCATCGCCCCTTTCAACCCCTTACAACCCTTTTATCGCATTAAAAAGTAGCATATATCCTTTCTTAGTATCTAGACTATCTGTGTACCAAATGTTATTTAAATCGGTCCAGTAGTTTTGGCGTGAAAGCGGGACAGACAGACAGAGTTACTTTCGCATTTATAATGTTAGTAAGGACGGCGTTGTATCGTTTTTTTTTTATTTTTGACAGAATTAGAATGTGTCATAATTGTCATTAATTAATTACTTAATCGCGATCAAAATATCTTTATTCATGTAGGTCTATTACAGACTCTTATGATATGTCAAATCTACCGTCAGTTCGGAATGATTTCGAGATGAGAAGAACTGACAAGAAACTCAGCTCGTATTCTTTTCAAGTGAGGTTGTACATGTTTGTATTTGACGACCTCGGTGGTCTAGCGGTCTAGCATACCGCTTTACGACCGATGGTCGCAGGTTCGATTCCTCGCACGGCACAAACATTTGTATTCATGAGTATGATTGTTTGTATCGGTCTGGGTATTTTCTATGTATAATATGTATGTATTTAGGAAAAAGAAAAAAAATTATCTATGTATTTGTATCAGTTGTCTAGGACCCATAACACAAGCTTTAGCTAGCTTAACTTGGGTCTAGATGGCGCTGTGTGAATTGTCCTGAGATTATTATTATTATTATTAATAGACTGACTCTGATGGTCACTCTATTCTCATGTGCTATTGCTTCGAGATGAGAAGAACTTTATTTAAATTATTAACCGGGTTAACACGAATAATTTTATGGCAAATAAAGGTATTTACCTCTCTCGACGTTTCGACTAGGTTGCACTAGCCGTGGTCACATGTAAACATTAACAATCTAGTGACGGTAGATGAAGAAAAAACTGCTGCCACCTATCTACATTGACAACGCTGTTACTCCAGTCAGCTCGTGACCACGGCTAGTGTAACCTAGTCGAAACGTCTAGAGAGGTTTTAGACCTTTATTTGGGGCTGTTCAAGTATTACGTAAGCAGATTTATCACAATTATTTACCCCTCATCCCCCGTTGTCAGCAAAAGTAAGCAAAGCTCTTACCCCTCCCCCCATGCTTACGTAAACATCTCTCAATTAATGTATTGTTTTTTTAACAAAGACAATGTGAGAGTTGCCATTCGTGTAAAAAAGTAAATTACGACCGATGACGTAATCATCATACAGACTCCCCCACCCCCATGTCATCCAAAATAAGCAAAGAAAAGACCCCCCGCCCCCCTATAGTGCTTACGTAATACTTGAACGGCCCCTTTACGATAAAATATTCGTGTTAAGACCCGGTTAATAATTTAAATAAAGTATATTAAACTCGAAAGTTAAAAATTAACTATGAGAAGAACTGACAAGAAACTCAGCTCGTATTCTTTTCAAATAAATGTTGTACATGTTTACAATAATACAGATTCATTTTTAAATTCAAATTTGGGAGTATAGAGTGACCACCAGCATATGCTATTGCAAAAGCAAATAATCTAATCAGTGTTCGTAACCCATCCTCCCAACTTTTGCTCATTCACGCAAAAACTTCTGAATGTGGATAGATGGATGTGATTCTTTTTACAAAAACTACTGAACATGTTTTGATGAAACTTTACGGTAATGTTGATGGAAAGTTTGTGGGTATCCATCCGTACTCACAAACTTTCCATCCAATATTACCTTATTGTTTGTTACTCTATCACGCAAAAATTACTAAAAGTGTTATGGATATTTTTATTTTAATACTACGATACCGTTATTAGAATACATAAAATGCACTGTACGCATCACTGTGGGTATTTTTTTTTAAATTTTATTTCTTTATAATTGTTTATTTTTTCTTTTATCCATTACGGATATAATGTTTTAGGATTATTATTTAAGATTATTAATATATAATTTGACTTTTTATTATTTATATACTTTTCTCTTGATATTATTATTTTTATTTTAATTGCATAGTATCTGATTTATTAAGTTAATGTATACGTATTTTTTAATTGTAATATTTGCGCGTCCGTACTGAGGGCCGAACTGAAAATCAGCGCTGGAAACTATTTCCAGCATTATGCCGAGTTGTGGCCCACATTGACTCCGTTTTTTAATGTGTAAATTATTCTTGTATTTCATATGTTATTACTGTAAAAACGAGTTAATAAAAATTCTATTCTATTCTATTCTAAACGAATTTTAATGAAACGTTACAGTAATATAGCTCACACATCGGATTAACATATAGGCTATAATTTAAAATGATATTAGATAAATGTCAGGCAAGTGTGATGCAGACGGTTTAGCATGGGCCAACTAGTAAATCATATTTACTGAGCAAAGCCTATTACTCACTAAACGATTACTTGAATGACGAGCGTGCACGGCAATAGTTGTTCATGCACGGGATTTTCATTTAATGTTAGACATAGACACCTATATAAATATACATTGTAAATAAACTAAGTTTAAAAAAAAAATATTGAGTTTCTTGCCAGTTCTTCTCAATTGGATCTGTATACTGAACTGGACGGTAGGAAAAAAAATTAATACAAAAAAACTTGTATTCATATAGGATTTTTTTTTATTAATATAGGACAGTATAGCCGGTTAGTGCGCTGAAGCTGAATGAATAAATGATTTTTGATTTCAATATTTCTATGATTGAGAGCCAGTTCACGAGGCTACTAAGTTACTCCTTATTACATCAGCTACATGATAAAAAAAGTCCCGTCAAAATCGGGTCCCGTCAAATTCAAACGGGGATCGAAATTACGACGGCCTGAGCCGAGGTTCGAACCCCTAGCGGCGCACTCAGACTAAAGTCGTATCCGTCAGGCGGGAGTTGGCCTTCAGCCACTCCATGAGTCGGCACTCGCCCCCTATCGTCCGGTGAAGCTGTAAAGGCCAGCTGCGGCCGACAGCGTTAGAGTAGTCCGAATATTTTTGCCTCATTTTTCATCGCTGCTCTGCTACTATTTGTCGTAGCGTGATGTTATAAGCCTATAACAATCAGGGATAATATACTTTTCTACCAGTGAAAGAAATTTTAGAATCGGATCAGCAGAACCGGCGACTACCCCAAATAAACAAAAATGCAAACATTACCTCTATAGAATAGAATAGAATAGAAAATCATTTATTCAAATAAACTTAATTTAAGCACTTTTAAATAGTCAAAATTTTTTTAAAATCTACCGTTTATTCGGAAAGCTTTCTCATCACAAGAAGAATAAGCAAGAAACTTGTGTGTTGCTCTTTTAAACAATCCTTGTAAGTTCACATTTTACAAGTCGAAACGTGTGAATACAAACTACCAACCAGCACTAATTTATTTAGGCTCAAATATAAAAACACAATAAGATTAAATCAGTCGTAGTGATAAGATATAGATAGATATATAGATATTTACATGTGCATGTACAAGCAGCACTCGTTCACAAGTATGACGGATGAGCCAGCCATCACTGCGCTCGACCATATTTTAGGGAGCCCAATGACCCGGCCCACCACGCCGCCACATGTCTGGACATTTTAGTGAGCATGACTACTCATTCCACTCGACCACGTCACAGCTACAAAAATTACTATATGGTAGTTACAGTATTCGCACTTTACATGAGGATGCATGCGGCAATCAATACAAAAGCCGCTACGCTAGCATATATCAAGATAGCAGTATGAAAAATAAATTATAACGTTGTCCGCAAATAAACTTATACTTGCTATATATTGCTATCATCTATAAATTCATATATAATATTAATATAAATTCCAGGTCACAATACATCTGCATTTAGAGGTAGTTTTAAATATGATGCTACTCACTTGACACCTGGAGATCATTTATACTTTTAAACGTCATCTAAAAAAAACTTTTGCAGGTACGAAAATCGTGCCAGGCAAAAATACATACAATACAGGCCAGTATACGATTCTATTTCTGTATTTCTGCTGTGCAACTGTATTTTTGTTTATACCAAAGAGGGAATAAATATAAGTACATTATTTCTTTAATTGTCTCTATTTTATATAAACATTGCGGTTTTAGAGGAGCTTCCTCCCGCGTACACTTAGATTGTGAAATGAACTACCTGTCGAGGTTTTCTCGAGAGATTACAGCATGGGGTAATTAAGGGTCAAGAAGGGTATATTAAGGTTTCTTAAGGGTCGGCAACCCACATGTGGCACCACTGGTGTTTCAGGCGTCCATAGGCTACGATAACTGTTTACCATCAGATGGGTCGTATGCTAGTCTGTCACCTACATGGTGTGAAAAAAAATGTATTCATGTATTGAATCTTACTAATATTATAAACGCAAGATTGAAGGATGTTTGTTACTCGTTCACGCGAAAACTACTGAACGGATTTTGACAAAATTTTACAGTACCATAGCTTATATGCTATGTTACTAATGTACATATGATGTACGCATAACATATCCTTACTAATATCACAGATAACATAATATTACATACTAATGTTATGCCCAATTTACACTCAGCCCGAGTGGGCAGGCAAGTGAGCAGCGCGAGAGTGTAGACACGAGTGGAAGCACTTCCCATGCCATTGGCGCTGCCACTCGCGCTGCCCGGCGCTCTTTCGATTGTCGGTTTTTCGTGCGCGAGTCAAAGGACTGGCATCGTGTTTTTACATTCAGCCCTCTCGCTCAGTTGTCGCCTGGCAATATTTCCGGCAGCGCGAGTGGCAGGGGAAGCGGCTGAATGTAAACGTAGCAATACAAATGTGAGAGTAGGGATATTTGTTACGCTTTCACGCAAAAACTACTGAACCGATCATCATGAAATTTTGTACACATATTCTTGGAGGTATTAGAATGAATATAGGATACTTTTTATTAAAAAAAAACTTGATAAACTTGAAAAAATATTGATATTTTATTTTTTATAAAAGACAAAATAATAAAAACAGTGACTTCTATCAGACAGTAATTGAGTAAGAAATCAATTATAAATCAGCTCCATCTACCAGTAATGAAGTTATTTAATGGATTCAATGCGAGCGAAGCCGCGGGTAAAAGCTAGTAGGGTATAATTTGAAAAGATTTTATGTAAATTGGCCAAGTAAGTGTAATGCAGACAAAATTGCCCGGGTTAACTAGTTTTTTTAATAATTGCGAAAAAGGTATCTATTTATCTATCTAAAAGTATAGGTATTGGTCAAGTAAGTGTGATGCATACAAAATTGCGCGGGTCAGCCAGTTTGTCAATATTTGTCGAAGTACCTACCATAGATAGGTACCCTCTGTCTAAAAGTGTTACCTCATATAGTTTTCTTATTCAGGTTTTAGATGATCCAGCGGAAGACCAGTTGTACTTGGTGTTCCAGCTGCTGGAAGGTGGACCAGTCATCGACATCCCCACTGAGAATCCACTGAGTGAACCCCTCGCCAGGAAGTACTTCAGGGATGTTGTTTTAGGGGTAGAATACTGTGAGTAATCTTTGTATATTTATTATAAATAGAAATATAATGTTATATTTCAACACTAGCTGTACCCGCAACTTCCTCCGCGTGGAAAATAACTTTATTTATCTAAAATAAAAGTAGCCTAAGTTACTCCTTACTACATCAGCTACCTGGCAAAAAACATCCCGTCAAAATCGGTCCAGCCATTTCAGAGATTAGCCGGAACAAACAGATAGACAGAATTTCGCTTTCAGCTTTACCAGAGTAATTTTCCTAAGTAATTAGAAAATGGAAATAAATGCATTTTATTCTGATCGCCACTTTATTTCCGATTGTAGCGGATTCGATTCCTCGTACAAGTACAAATATCTGTATTCATGTTTGTGTCAAGTGTTTGTATCGGTCTGGATATTTTATTATCTATTTTATGTATCTATTTAGAAAGAAAAATAAAATATCTAAGTATTTATATCAGTTGTCTAGTACCCATAACACAAGCTCTGTTTAACTTGGGACTAGATGGCGCTGTGTGAATTGTCCTGAGATATTATGTAGAGTTTTATTTATTTATTTACTCTTTAGCAGCAGATGGAAATTATAAAGATCATAAATAGAAGTAATAAGATACAATGGGTCTTATCACATAAGCATTATTTCTAGACAACCTTTTTAAGTAATCATCCAATCGGATTGAATCAGTTTCTGATATGTTTCGACTATACCAACCTACAGTGCACTACCAGCGGATCGCTCATCGGGATATCAAGCCTGCCAACCTGCTCCTCGGTGAGGGTCGTGTCCAAGTGGCAGACTTGGGAGCATGCGGCGAGCTGGCCGGTGGTGGTGGTAGACTGTCCGGTGCAGTTGGTACTCCTGCTTTCAGAGCGCCAGAGGCCACGGCACAAGCAGATAAATATATTGGAGAGGTAATACACAAACGAACTTTACATTCCATAGATTGACCGTGCGGAAGCCGGATCCATGTGGCTGAGAAACTCCGAGCAGTTTCCGGCACTTGTGGCCTGGATGGAAGTCAGAGAGGAAACTCTAAGCATTTCCCGGGACTTGTGACGCGGATGTAGCTTTAAATCGGGTCCACCGTGTGGCAGAGTGAGAAACTCCGACCAATTTCCGGGACATGTGAACAGAAAGTAGATTTAAGTCGGGTCCACCATATAGCAGGGAGGAAAATTCCGAGCAGTTCCCAGGACTTGTGACCAGGGTGTAGGTTTAAGTCGGGTCCACCGTGTGGCAGAGAGAGAAACTCCGAGCAGTTTCCGTTGCTTTTGACCCGGGTGTAGGTTTGAGGCGGGTTCACTGTGTGGCAGAGAGGGAAACTCCGAGCATTTCTCGGGACTTGTGACCTAGGTGTAGCTTTATAACAGGTTCACCGATATAGGTAAACTCCGAGCAGTTCCCATGTATAGGTTTGAAGGACATCTTTGCCGTGTTACATCAACACGCCTTTAAATAATGAAACGATTTCTCAGGAGTTATTATTATTCAGTCGGCAATGAATCCAAAAAGAAAGGGGTCAAACCAGAACCGTATTTTATTGTAAATCTTCCCACAGATCATAATATTACACAGATCTATATATAATACTTTTCACTATAACTTAACAATTAGTTTTATACGTATATCCGTTTTATTCTACTCAGGCTGCAGACATCTGGTCATTAGGGGTTACTCTATTCGCGATGGTCACGGGCCGAGTACCCTGGGTCGGTCCAACAGCGAATGAACTCCAACGAAGGGTACTAGAAGAACCCCTGACGTTCCCTCAAAAACCGCAACTGTCGACGAGTCTGAAGGATCTACTGAGTAGGATGCTTGACAAAAATCCCACAACGAGAGTCACTATGCAGGAAATTAAGGTAAGTTTGTAAAGATAATATTACTATTAAAATACTATTACTCAGAGGGCAATAGAGAGAGCTATAGTCGGAGTTTATCTGCATGATCGAATCAGAAATGAGGAGATCCGCTGAAAAACCAAAGAACCCGTAGAATTGCGAAACTGAAGTGGCAATGGGCAGGGCACATAGCTCCTAGGACAGATGGCCGTTGGGGCAATAAAGTCCTCGAATGGCGACCACGGACCGGAAGATGCAGCGTAGGAAGGACTCCAGCAAGGTGGACTCACGATCTAGTCAAGATCGCTGGTAGAGGTTGAATGCCAACAACCAAACGTCGTGGAGATTATTGGGGGAGACCTTTGTTCAGCAGTGGACATGTTCCAGGCTGAAATGATTATGATGATGACTACTGTTTCTTAAGTGTTACGTTGATATAAAAAGAAAATACATTAATACAAATTAGTATATTAATTAAAGGTCACACAGTGGTCGAAATTCGACCATAATAAAAAATAGAAAAAGTACTTTGAAGCAACACACTGAGAATAAAAATTAAACCAAAGAGGATATATGCGGATATGTGTCAAATAATGTAATGTTTTTTTTATTGATTTAATGTATTTTTTATGCTATAGTTTAAAAATATTAGCGTTCTGCAATCCTTCCGCGCTGTTTTCGTAAAAATCATAGTTTTTGCTTATTTTTGTATAACAAATTTAAACATATTTTTCTAGAAAAATATATGATTTTTTTATGGTATCAACGAAAGTTGTAGAACGAAAGTTCATCGATACCATGACTTTCATATCCTTGCTGCTTGGTATAGCCCTTTCCAACTTATCCTGTATATAGGCAACAGATGCACCTATCAAGTGGACCGTAAGTCTATTTGTCGCAGTTACATAAAAAAAATTGTTTTTACTATCACCAGGAAAGTTGAGCCGTCAATTTGTTTGTCACAATTACATAAAAAAAACTTAGAAATAGAAATAATCTTTATTCAAATAAACTTAATATTAGCACTTTTGAATAGTCAAGTTTTTTTATTCTACGGCTCATTCGGATTCATCACAAGAAGAATGAGCAAGAAACTTGTTTTTACTATCACCAGGAAAGTTGAGCCGTCAATTTGTTCGTCACAGTTATATAAAAAAATAAACAAGTTTTCACTCCCGCCAGGAACATGATTGGGTCACGGATGATGGTAAAGAGACGTTACCATCCGAGCAAGAGAACTGCCGGTTGGTGGAAGTGACTGACGAGGATATGGCCCGCGTGGTCACCTCCATACCCAACTTGTCAACTTTAATCCTGATCAAGACCATGCTGAAGAAGCATAGCTTTCAGGTATGTAAATATCGTTTAAAACATTTTTAACGCATTGAAAAAAGTTATTTCTCACATAGGGCCATTTTATTTATTGTTAACCAGCTTCTCGCCCCGGCTTCGCCCGAGTTTGCATATATTATACATATAAACCTTCCTCTTGAATCACTCTATGTATTAAACAAAACCGCTTCAAAATCCGTTGCGTAATTTTAACGATTTTAGCATACATATGGACGGACAGACAGCGACAGCGACTTTGTTTTATACTATGTAATTATGTTTAGGTATATTATTTTTTTAAATGTTTTTTGCGTATAATAATTTGTGGTAGATATTGTTTAACCCCTACATTTATTTCAATTAAAGTGCCCACTGGTGATCACCCTGTTCGGATTAAATTTACTTTCGTCGAGGAGCGACCTACCTCATTTGGTCTTTATTATTATTATTATACTAGCTGTGCCCATAACTTCGTCCGCGTGGAATAGTACCTTGAGCAAGTACAGAATAAATATTTAATAATCTAACCCAAAAAGGCCAAAGTTTCATCGTTCTATCTTCAAAAGTGACTAATTTCTATACAAACTTTCATCCCCTATTTTATTAACCAACAGCCTACAAAAAGCTTCAAAGTTCTAGCTTTAATAAGACGATGCTTCCATACAAACCCTTAGAACCCTGTTTCGCATTAATCACGATGGTGTACAGGGTACGCATTGAAACTCGCGTTGTGACTGACTCCAGCAGCAGCACGCAGCAGTAAGTTGTAATTACAACTTACTGCTGCGTGCTGCTACACCAACCACGGCAATGTACCTGTCCCGTCTACACTACGCCACTAAGGAGCAGGACTTTGTCGATTATATACGAACCAAGAGTAACTTGACATTGAGGGTGACACACCTGGAGTCGAGTCACAACGCGAGTTTCAAGGCGTTCGTAGCCCGGGTCCCGACCAACATGGTGCCTACCTTCATGAAAAGGACTACTGGCCGAAGGGTGTGGTGTATCGGCGCTACCGTGGCAAATTGCCGTCATCAGTACCGTGACCATACAGACGAGATCAATATATTAGTTTTAAAATATTATTTCATATGTATGTTAGTCTATACGGTATTTATAATATGGGTTTGAAATAAATAATAACAATAATTACAAGTCTAATAATGGAACCAATAGATCCTTATCCTTAACAATTTCCTCCTGACACTCTAAGACTTTGCTATACCCCAAAATAATGAATGTACCCCCGACAGAACCCGTTCCTGCGAAGTCGGGAAGGGAGCGCGGCGCGGCGCGGGGGCGGCTCGGACGCGGGCCCGGGGGCCGCCGCCTCCCCGGGGGCGGCGGGGGGCGCGGCGGGGGGCGCGGCGGGGGGCGCGGCCGCGGCGGGGGCACGTCGCCCAGGGCTGGCCCGCGCGGGGCGCTCGCTCTCCGCCCCGGGGAACTATCTCATTCACAGGTTTGTACGCTGTATAACATCTTAATCCCCATAGGGAAGTGCGGATTACCCGTGTCACCCTGTATAATTTACCGGACTCGTTTATACAAATCAGCGTCGGGTCCTAGTAGTATACTGGCTGACTTGGATTTCGAAGGTTATGAGTTCGAATTGGTTTTATGATATGCTTCGTATTTCTGACTGATTCTTCGGTGATTGTTTATCACCGAAGAATTTATATATAAAATTATTATTATTAAAGAAACCAAATAAATCCGATTAACAATGTTCAACACTCCATACACATTTTTTTTTTTATAAAATTAATAGTATTACTAAATTAATCAAATTAATCCGATTAACAATACAATAGATCATCACAAAAGAAACAATGAACAAATATTTCTTACATCAATTGGAATATAAATTATTATATGTATTATTATTTTCTTTTAACTTTGAATTTGACTATTTTTAATTTTTCTTCCAACCGATTTCTACTTTTTTCCTATGAAAAAAAAGTGACAAAACATTCCTATACTTAAACTAGATCTGTAGCTGATTTTATATAAGTATGAGTGTAATCATATATTTTTATTTACAGACAACAATCTTTCGACATAGGACTGGAATCGGTGGACGAGTCTCGCGACCAGAGCCAAGACAAAGACAAGAATTCACCGACAGAGCGCGTGAAGTCCGCGCGGTGATACGGCTTACGCGCGCTACTGCCGCGCCCCTCGGCCCGTACTTACTTGGCCGCCATAATTTTAACACCAAATCTCTATACATTCAACTATGTCACTCACATAAAGGCCTATGCACACAATCCTCGGGGGTAACTTCATTAATTTACGTGAATAGAAGTAAATGGTAATAATAGTTTGACCACAAAATCTCTACTACAAATGCAAAAATAGCATTTGCGTATAGGCCTATGCAGACGGACCTCGGGGGTTACCTGATTAACTAGTTATATTCGTTTCAAGTAGTAATAATAATTTTACTTCTAAATCTATTACAAATTCAAAAATCCTACGTCTCATAAAGGCCTACGCTGAAGGTCCTCGGGGCAACTTCATTAATTTACATTAAATCTCTACTACAAATGCAACAATATCGGTCACATAAAGGCCTATACACATAGTCCTCGGGGTAACTTCATTAATTTGGTGGACAGATGGCAACAATAGTTTGTACCCCAAAATCTCATCTATATAAATTTTATTCACACAAAGATTCACACTATAATAGAAAGATAATCGTAGGGGTTAATTTAAGCCAAAATTATCACTTAATCTCTGTCTTCATTTAAAAAAACATTTATCAAAATATTGTAATAATTTGATTAGCGTGATAGTTTTGCCTCAAATTCTCGGCTACAAATTAAATAATATAATTAAAATAAAGGCCTACATTCCTCGGGGGTAAATTTAGTCTGTCAAAATGGGCACCCACTGATTTTAGTGACATAGAAAAAAATGTACTTTGACATGTATTTTGACATTCATATTAATGTAAAATAGGGTCCGCGCTAAACTTACCCCAGGATTAACTTTGGGGTAACTATAGCACAAACTTTTCTCTTCTCTCATGTAGTACTCACTAGTAGTACTTACGTTTTACTTCTTTATTCATAAAAATAAAAACAAAAAAAACACACTTACCATTAAAGTTTTTTGTCGTGTTCTATAAAATTTAGAAACGTGTACCTAAAAATGAAATTTCAGATACCTTAGAAGATTAACGTTTTTATGAATAAAGGGACTAAATTGATAAAGAAATAATGTTCAAATTATAAAAAAAATATCTGAAACTAGTCAAATAACTATCATATTTTTAATATTCATTCATTCGTGTATGTATAATTGTATATATATATAAAACCTAATATTTACAGTCTGGTAGAACGTTACCGATAAGAGAATAAGGAAGTTAAAGTGAGACTCGAACATACATTTGTAGAGAGTGATACAGGGTGTTAGAATCAATTTTATCTATTTGTATGTTCAACTATAAATATAATATTTCTAATTAACATGCACCCTGTACAATGAAATGCATTTTAACTTTTAGCATTTAATTTTTTTATGGGCTAAGGGTAAGTTTGTTTTTTTTTATAAAGGTCTGTACTCATATAATTTCACTCCGGATCAATCTTTACGTAATACAGATATACAATGTAGAAACGGAATAGAACAATTCAAATTCAAAATATCTTTATTTATGTAGGTCTATTACAGATTCTTATATGTCAAATCTACCGTCAGTTCGGAATGATTCCGAGATGAGAAGAACTGACAAGAAACTCGGCTCGTATTTGTTTTTTAATGCTGTACATATTTACAATAATACAATTTCATAATACAATGTACATAGAAACAGAATAAAATTAAAAATAGCTAAATTTGTCATTGATAATATTCAGTAAAATAACAGAAGACATAGACAAAACATTAAAGGACTAACATCTAAAGCCGTAAAATAATTACTAAGAAATCAAATCAATTTTGACAGCATTGCCAATCGCTTGTCAAAATGAGCATGGTTCGTGAAGCAAAAACTTTAGTCCTTTTTACCAAAATTGCGCAGATATAGAATGGAATTTCGATAGACGTATGGAATTTCGTGCACTTATATAATATAAATTATAAGTTTCCGAAATTTCATGCTTCATATAGTAATAATAATAATCTCAGGACAATTCACACAGCGCCATCTAGACCCAAGTTAAGCTAGCTAAAGCTTGTGTTATGGATACAGATAACTGATACAAATAGATTTTTTTTTTTCGTAAATACATACATATTATACACAGAGAATACCCAGACCGATACAAACAATCATACTCATGAATACAAATGTTTGCACCGTGCGAGGAATCAAACCCGCGACCATCGGACGTAAAGCAGTGTGCTAGACCGCTAGACCACCGAGGTCGTAATATAAACTATAAGTGTGCGAAATTTCATACAATGTGCAATCGGTTCAGCAGTTTAAGAGTCCATCGCGGACGAACAACGTGACACGTAATTTTTATATATAAAGATTTATATAATTACCTATTCATTGTATAGTTTTTTATACAAGTTATATTTATACAAGTATATTTTTTATTCAAACAGAAGAATATAAAGTTCAGGAAGTTTGTATGTATAATTACAGTGTCCGTAGTGAGTACAGACCTTTTATTGTTTTAATTGTAATTACTTAATATATATATGGTTTTTATGTTATACAATGTTTAAAAATGTACTGCAATTTTTTTTTATCAGATCATAATTTTATTATATAAAAAAAAACAAAAACAATCTGCAAGAACTGTATGTATATATATAATATATTTAAAACTATCTGTTCCTGCGATTTCGTCCGCGTGGAATTTAAATTTTATTTTTCTAAAATACAAGTAGCCTAAGTTACACCTTATTACATCAGCTACCTGCCAATAAAAGTCCCGTCAAAATCGGTCCAGCCATTTCAGAGATTAGCCGGAACAAACAGAAAAACAGACAGACAGACAAAATTGTAAAAAATGTTATTTTGGTGTATGTACCGTGTTTATATTCATATGCATGTAGTAAAAAACGGTTATTTCAATATTACAAACAGACACTAATTTTATTTATATGTATAGATATTATTAATAGTTACAACTATATATGTAGGTATATATACATATATTATTGTATATTACATAATTGATATACCAAATTTGACTACTAGGGGCGACCCGGGGCGCTCCACACCGGCGCCCCCGGTCGCCCCTCCGATTGATCCCCCGTCTAATTCAAACGGGGATCGATATTACTACGGCCTAAGCCGAGCTTCGAACCCCTAGTGGTGCCCTCAAACTAAATTCGTATCCGTCAGGCGGGAGTTGGCCTTCAGCCGCTCCATAAGTCCTTCCTTGGTTTGGAGTGCCATCTGCACTCGCCCCCTATCGTCCGGTGAAGCTGTAAAGGCCAGCTGCGGCCAACAGCATTAGAGAAGTCCGAAAAAAAATTTTTAGTGCATAAACAAGTTTTAGTTTTGTTGACAATTTGTCTCATAATGCTAAATATATTGCAGTACAGTTTTAAACAACATATAGTTTACTTAAATGTGACATAAAGTGAGGTTTATAGCAATTATTGTACTCTAGGGTGGGGTGTGTTGCACTGAAATGATATTTTTTTATATCTAGCTTAATACATAGTTAGGTAGATAACGTAATTTTTTCTAATATTCAATATTTTACCATTCCTCGCCTAGTCGTCAAATGTTTCAATGATAATTATTGTAAATAATATTTTATATACTTATGTCCTCTATAAACTAGAATAAGAGATGCACTTAAATATTTTTCGATAATTTTATTTTTATTTACAGTCTGTATAGCTGTATATTACAACAACCATATCTATCGTCCCAAAAAAAAAAAGTTTATAAAAAAACAATTGTAAAATTATGGTTGTAACTTTTAACTGGATTCATTTCTAAGTCTTAAATACACAATTTAGATTTAATCCTTATAAAATTGCTCAATTCTCGTATCAAGTGTCCCCACTTCGCGTTCATAGCTTATAAAATATTTACCAAAAAAAATAATTGTAATGTCTTCTCTATGGTACCTAAAGTTAGATTTTTATAAATTCGCTTAATCTCGTATTTTTGTACGAGAATGATGACCCTGCTGATATAATTAACAAATTTTATGATTCAGTAACTGTAAATATTAAATAATAGGTACCTACTATACGATTTACAATGTTTCTTGCCTTCCTGCACTTATGTAGTATATAATTATCCCAATATTCAGTTCTGTAACCTAATAGAAATGACACGCCTAACAAACTGAAACAAATTCTTTATAAAAAAATTACTTGCCTCTCTGCAGTACAAAGGTAGACTATTAAAAAAAAATAGGTACCAAGCACACACGCTACTTTGCAAATCAAGATCAGCGATTTAGTTGCTCTATATTAATTACACACAACTTCGCCAATTACGATAATTTTTCTTAATCGCCAGCGATTGCAGACTGTCCTGAGTATAGGACAGTAAAGATGCCAATTCAAGAACCAGTATTGCGATTGCTGACTTGGTACAACTTTAAATAGCAACTCAATAGCTGTACTGTAATAATTGGTATTATTTAAAAAAAATCTCTCTGGACATTCAACTGAGCTGTCATAAAACTCATACATACTCAAATTCTCCATAAAATCAGAAGTGTATTCAAATATATCCAGATAATGTATTTAAAAAAAAAACTATTGTCTATTTAAATAAAAATCTAATTACAAAAATAAATCTATTTATACATTAATACGTTAACAAAGAGTTATTTTTAAAAAGCCCAATATCTGGAGAAAATATGCTCATCATGACACTTGTGTAACTCATATTCTCCATATAATTATTTCAAATATAAAACTGGATTTTATTACTTTGAATTCACATATTAAATGATTATTAGCATTATAGCCTAGATGATTTTCTAAATATAAACTCGTCTCTTTCTTCAAAAGCGTCTTTTGAAATCTGATATATATCAACTCAAATTCTCCGTAGACTTTCTTCAAAATTCTCACATTTTAAAAGCCTTCTGTTTTCAATATCTGTTACAAATATAAGTCTTATTAAAACTTTATCGCACGCTCAATAATAAATTACATTAACTCCAAAGAGTGACGCCAAAGTCCCCATCTAATTTAGTCCGTATTTT